TGGCCATCTTCGTTGGCACAGAGAACGTCAGTTTTGGAATCGGATGAGCGCGGTTTCAGTTCTGTGGCCAGTATTGTATGTGTATAACTCAGTAAACTCATTAACTTTGCTCACGTGTTGGTTGATGGACTTACACACACACACACACACAAAAAAAACAACAACCAAACGAATCACATACTGAGTAAAATTCTTGATGAAAACTTATATACTTTCTAGCTGACGGTAGATACATTATTCAGCTAGAAACCACTCTTTTGAGTCGATTGAACTGAATTGGGAAAAAGCCGTTGCAAAAATATCCTATAAGGTCTAGTTACGTTTTGATATTCTAATTCAGCACCCTAAGGGTCTCTTTAAAACCTTTTGTCCCCTAAGAGTGTTAAGCATTTAATTTCTCCTAATTCAGAATATGGTTTGCTTACTATTAAGGTCACAGTGGAGTCATGAGAATCGTTACACTCACATGAATGGAAATTCTTTGCTGAGAGACAAAAGTTAGGGGGCCAGTGTAAAGGAAGCTAGCATTACATGGCTATTGAATACGGACGAATTCAACACGACCATCAGTAACGTATTCAGGTTTATGATGGTTGGTCTAACAAAAAAATTCATATAGGATCAGGGAATAAGAAAAGTAAACATTTTAAAGGCTAGTAACGAACTGATCCTCACAAGGTACAGAAACTGCAGAAATGGAGTTTGAACACCATTAAAAGTATCACGAATCCGAGCATAAAATGACCTACATGTAAGTACTAAACTTAGTCCTTGATACGGCTTCACCCCACGTGGTGAAATTTTCTGGCAATAGATTATAGAATTCCAAACCGAAAGTGATGATGTCTTCAATTTGTTCAGTTAGAGGATAACTGTAATAGACGTAACTTGTAACTTCTACCGCAAAAGTTCAAATTAGCATGAATATTTTTATTTGGGCTCTTTAAAGCGTCTCTATACGAAATTACTTTTGGCTGAAGGCCGTTAAAAGAAGAAAGGGATACAAGGCTTGCAACTTGGTGGCCGCCAGCCGCGACCTCCTTCACCTGTCTCCATTTCTTCTCGTAACGGCCTCCAGCCAAAAGTAATTCCGTGAAGACACTCCAAACGGCTCACGAAGGCGAAAAAATACGACAAATGCATCAATCAATATTTCCTTTAACTTTATTGAGATATTCAGAACGAGATGTAATTTAGATGTGCAATTTTCAGAGCTTTGTTTATAACCCTCATAGATTTTGTTCGTCTCATGTCAACGATAATTAACCGCGAACACATAGTGTGGTCTGCCTGTGCCGTGACCTATAAAACAAGCAGTAAACCCCTGCTTGATGATAGGTTTTGCCCGTCGCTTCCTGATCGGAGAGAGCCAAGAGGTAAAAAGAATATATTTCGATTAATACCACATTATAGTATCTCAATATCAGTACCACAAAGTGTACCAATTAGAATGAAAAATGAAAAGAAGATTCTAATCATTTTAGCTGATACGTACTCTGCCAGTGATCATCATGGGTGATAATTCGCTTGGTTTCTTTCTAAAGTTTCAATTCTCTAACATGAATTATTGTTTATAATAGATAGTTCATGGTCATTAATTTCGAATCAATTCATTTATTCGAAATGAACTTCTAACCGAAAGATTGGAGGTTACGATCAGATAGTATCAGCTTCAGGATCATTTTGAAGTAATTAAAGTAAAAATCAGCCTCTCGTTCCAAAGATGGAATGTCATCATCATCTCTTGGGAATCGTACTCTAATATTCCATCTTCCTCTTCGTCTTCTTGCTGCTCCTCGAAGTCAGAGCGTTCGAGGCTGACCGGTTCGACCGGCTGAATTTCTCTCTGATAGAGGTACGACGGGGAAGTTCCATCTCTTGCCATCGTTG